GTTTAAGCAGAACACGGAGCATATATTCATAAACAGGATCAACATCTGTACTGATAGTGTAGATATCTAGCAATAACAGAAGGAAAGCTCGCCGCCTTTGGATAAAAAGAGCTCGTAATAAAATAACCAGGCTATTCATAAATTTCAACATTCATCAATTTCGAAATCCATCAGTCATTCGAAAACCGTCACTATTCGTTCTTTTTGGCAAGAGAACGTCCATTGCTCTTTAACTGGTTCAGAACTTTGCTTGCAGGATAGTTCTTGGTCTTAGAAAGTACGATCTTATTTCCGAAGGCTTAAAGTCAACTAAATGGCTTTCCGTGTCTTATAAATTACTTTTGTACGATTCTATTATGGTCCCTAAGTGCACGAATGGTAGAGCTCCCGGCTATCTTATTGAGAAATTCACACGTAGATCAGAACTTCATTACAGAAATACGCGATATAAAAAAGATCTAAATCTGCCAAGATGCAGATCAAAAACTGGGCGACGATCTTTTGCCTACAGAGGGGCTACCTGCTGGAATAGACTCCCCAAAGACCTTAAAGAAGTAGTGAACTCTGGTACTTTTAAGAAGAGACTTGTAAATATGTTTTAAACGTAAAACTGATTTATCTTTATTTCCCTTGTAGTTAATTTCATTAGTTATTACAGTTTATTCCTTTGTCTTATCTTGTAATTTTAGTATATTGTGGCTGAAAAGCCCTGTAATAAATTTATGTATGTATGTATGTATGTATGTATGTATGTATGTATGTATGTATGTATGTATGTATGTATGTAAAGGGTTAAAACTGTACCTCTCATCTTAGCTGGAAGAGTTTCCACCAAGTAAATATCTTCATCTTTGTAACGGCTGATAAAATCTTGCAACTTGAAATGAAATGTTGCCAGTGATCTGTTTTCTTTTTTACCTTCTTCAACATCAATGGCCTCTTGCCCAAATTTTTCACTAGGTTGAAGATACGATATAAAATAAGAATGTCATTCAAATGAATGAGGTTGTTGTCCTAAAAAAAAAAAATGAATTCCCCACAGAGGTGTTATGAGAATTTTGAGGGGGGGCGGGGGAGGAATTCAAGGAGAAGCTTGTTCTCACAGAAAAGTTTGCTTAGCTTTAGAAATTAGGGTGTGTTATTCCCATGAAGAAGGGATATTTAATGAACTGACACTGCGAAGATAATTAACAAACACAATTGTGATCAGTTTGAGAGATAAAATGTCTCCCTCCATTCCACACATTACAGACAGGGGAAATTTTTTTAATTTTTGATTCCATTCTTAGCTCCACCAGAATTACTTTACTATGCTTTGCTTTCAATGTCTCTTATAGTTTCAAATGATATCATACTTTTCTTTCATTTGAGGAAACAAAATAAGTGGTAGCAGCAAGACACAATCGATTTGTTACCTAGGAGCTACAACATTACATCAAGAAGTCAGAGGGTCAAAATAATGCAACAATCGCTTCAATAACTTTCAACTGTTCTTAAATTTGAAAAAAAAATGAACAGGTGAATCATTATTAATTTATTATTCATGCCGAGTTAGTTTGCATCACTTGCTCAATATCTTTTGCTTTTCATGATAACCTTTTTCCATATCACGTTTCAAAGGAAAAGTTAACCTATCTTAGCTTTAAACAAGCCAATTTATCTTTAATATTCATTGTTTTATAATATAATGGGTAAACAAGTGTAAAAGGCTTGCCCTAATTTTTATTCAGTCTGACCTAAATATAAGTATCTCAAATTTTGTTGAAAACAAGCAAAAACTTGTTGAAGGGAAATAAACATTCCCTGCTACAAGTGTAGAAAACTGGTTGCCCGAAACATGCAGCTCTGCTCTCTGGTTATTTTTCTAGGCTAAAATAATGTTAAAAATCATTCGAAACTAGTCGCCCGTAAACTGGCAGAAGTTTCCTCGTTGATTTTGACTTGACGTGGACCGAATGCCTTTTTTCAAAATGATCTTGACTTTGAGATATGACATCCACTATATATTTTCATCTTACCTTAAATATTGATCCGTCCATTTAGAAAAAGCAGGCATTTTCTTCGCTGCTCCCTTAAACAGCACAGGTTTTCCCGGAAGAACATTTTGATCAAAGAATTCCCGAGACGTTGGAACAAAGTCAGTGCTGTCCAATACGCCTAATGGAGGCTGATGAGAACCTAAAGGTTTAAGATGACCAGGGGGATGTTCAGACTCAAGGGCTGATAAAACCAAAATAAAATTTAAAATTAATAGAGCTTTCATTGTCCCTTCAGAATGAGTCACTTCGGAGTTATGGCTCTCGGAGAACAACATACAGTATTTACAAATCTGTCGAGCGTTTCCGAAAAATTACCGAGTAATGTACGTCAGCTAGTCGCCGATAGATTATCGACTACTTTTGCTCACTTGACGTCACGCAGTAAACATGGACGCAGTTCTATAGCAACTCAGACCCTAACATTTGATTTCATTAGCTTTACAATGGCTTTGACAATGACCTTTAGAGCTCGTATTAGCTGATTACAAATTCTTGTTTTTCTATGGGACTCAAATATTGCTCAAAATACAATTTTGTACGCCGACTCTGTTAGTTCACTCGCGCGGAATTCGATCGTTTCGAAATGGGCATTTCGGAGATTCAGTCCGCATCTTAGGTGGTTTTAGTTCACAGTATTTCGTCAAGTCTTTATTTATCTTAGGGTTAGTGGAATTCGGAAGTGCAGGAGAGAAGGATCTAAGGTTTCTTTACCTACAAACAAGGCAAAATGATGGCAACAAGAAACCCAAAGGTCGTCCCAAAGCGAAAACCATCGAAGCCTCAAACGAGGGCATCAACTTTATCAAATGAGCAAGGTAAGCTTCAGAATTGCCGGTGTGTGGTGACTGCCTCGGCTTGATTTCACTACTCTACACACGACGGGAGCTATGTAAAGGTGGAAAATCTGCTTCATTCTTCGATGAATCATAAATTTTCTGGTGTTTTACGTAAGCTTTTGTTGACTTTTGAGTTATCCTGTATAACTTCCTAAGAATCGAGTCGATCACAAAATAATTCGATCAAGATTTGAATTCAAAACAGCTGAGTGATCATGTGAATTGAAGAAAGGATGTTTTACTAATATAGAGAACAGAAACTAGACGTCGACGGAATGTAATCACTTTATTTATCACTTACCATGTACGAGGCGCTGCATGTAGCAGGAATCAGTTCCTGGGGTCCTGAAATAGTGAGGGGTTCCAATTTGATTTGAATTTTAGCTGCCAAAAACAGTTAAAGATGCATATTTCAGAAATTTATGATCCTGATACATGTTTTATTGAATTTTCGTTGTTTTGTTAAAATTGTCCTGCTGATTGCTGTACTCAGCTCTACCACAGCTTTCCAACTCAAAAGTTTATGTTCTATTGGATATCACCTGCATAGCAGAGTTCAAGGTGCTTCTTGGAAAATGTGTGTTTTGTAGTCATGAACTTTCCCATGATGGTCACGGTAACTCTCAGGAACCATATATGTGATCTTGGGTACCTGAGACAACCTTCTTGCTAAGTGCATGAGGCCAACCAAAATCTTCACCGAAATAAGAAAGTGAGAAAACTTGGGAGGGCAAGTTGTCTCACTTGGGCTACTAGCCTGTCAGGCAAAGCAATTTTTACACATGTAAATACTTCAGCTCCCTTGCAAAGAACAGAAGGTTCAAGTTTTGTCCATTGTGTAATCTACTTAGCTGTTACTAGAGAGACTGTTACTCGGGGACAGCTGTCACAACTCACAACACCAAATACCTGTAGATGTTATGTAAAGTTGTCTTAGGTACCTGGTAGGACCTCAGAGAGCAAATGTAACATTTGGAAGGTTTCAAAGGTCATGTCTTTAAACCATGAATTATAGATTTTAAACATATCAGAATGCTTTGAAGAGTAAGGAAAAATGCTGCTTCTCTGATCAGTTGCAGTCAGTTAAAGGATATGAGTTGGCTGTTATAGGAAATGCCTCTTGCAATGTAAGATAAAGATGCAACAATGGTTAGAATCCTGTAGACAAAAGTAATTTCAATGCGACATGCTTACTTTAATTTTTCTGGATCAACTGTAATTTCATGTAGGCCAGGTACAGGTAGGACTGGTATGGCTTTACTAACAATCTTTCCAAGGTGTACCATCATGGCATCTCTATGCCAGAAAAAAAATTGTAAGTAGTTATAATACGATGGATCCTGCGAATCTGATAACCATTTATCTTTGAATAATTCTTTTCAACAGCATGGACTGACACAGATGACACTGAGGGAACCAAGGAATCTGGAGAGTCCTCTGAGCAAATAAAGGAAGCAGCTCTTGAGACACAAAAGGGAAGCTTGATATCAGTCAAGGAAGCAGATGAAACAAACAGAGGTACCACTGAAGATGAAATGAATGGGTCAGAAATAAATGGAGTCCATGAACCTCCACAGACAACTGACACAGAAGTCCCACAAACAACAGACACTGAAGGAGTGAATGGTACTGAAACTGACTCCATGGCAAGTATGGAAAGTGCCACAAGAAAAAGAGTGAAAAGAAACACTGTTGTACCCACAGATGGTGAAGACAGTGGTAGACAGACTCCAGAATCAAGGAAAGGTAATAATTATGATAACTTTTGTCAATTAAGCCTATTGTTTGAATGTTATTTGGTTTTTGAGATTTTAGTTATCTGTACATTGCTCAGATGTTGTGTATTTTTTATGATCCTTTTTGTCAGGAAATAGAGTTATCTCATTTTGAATGTGAAAAGATTTAATCTTGTAACTCCCAAGATCTGACTGTCAATTCTCCCCTCTAACTGCTACACATTTCTTTGTAAAATGGTTACAAGAATTTGATTTTAGATAAAGTCCTAACAACTTCTGCCTGATGAGATTAAGTATTCATAGTACTTGGTTAGTGGATAATGTATGGATATTGTAGAGAGAAGCTGTACTTTAATCGCTTCTGGAAGTTGAAGGGTTAAGACTGTGGTACTGAGAGACCTTCTATTTTTCTCAAGATGCATGGAGTATTGCTGAGACGGATGCTGATGTTGAGTCTAATGCTGCATCAAGTCGACCCAGCTCTGCTCATAAGGGAGCGAAACAGCGCCCTGCAACTGCAGTTGCAAGACCAACAACAGCTATTGCACCAGTAGAGAGACCAATGACAGCACCAGCCACCCAATCACGTTCTCAAGTTAAGCCTGGGACAAGTAGTGGCACACGACCAAAGTCATCAGGGTCCCGCCAGAGATCGGGTGGTGAAGGAGAGGGACTTGATCATCCTGCATCAATGAATGGGGTGAGTGCCAAATTTTAGTTCATGTTATGAAGTGGAACTGGACATTACATGTTAATCTTATATACAGCTGGTATATACAGCTGGTAATCTACCATGTGTATGCATGTACCAGCCATATAGGCTATACATGTACAAGGTGTAATTATTATAGATGAAAATGAACTTCAGGTAGATATGAATTCAAACCAGTGTCATTTGATGAGCATTTGCCCTTTTCCAAGCACATTACCATTAAACAAAGAGAGTTGCAAATAAAGCTAGTTTGAAATCATTACTCCTTACAAGTGTATTTTTTTAACTTCAAGTTGTAAATGTGTGGTTTTTTAGCATTAGACTTGAAGATTTCTAGATCTACTTGTTGTCATGTTTTAGTCTCAAGAGATTGTCGCATGGGAGGAACCATCTGCAGTGTCCAGTGAGGGTTTCAGAGACGGAGGTTAGTTGCAGCAGTAGGTTCTTTTTTTACCTTCTCTACTGTCCTGTACAATACTAAAACTACATTTGGCTTACTTATGACTTATAAGATAGGCAAATTTATGGCTAATACCTGGTAACTATAATTATGATAAACCATTACGCTTTTCTTACAATTTGTATGCAATGCTTTAACTCCTTATGATTACTTTCAACCAAAGCTGTAGTTTGCACAAACAGTACGTGTCGCTTTAAGAATTTTCAAATCTTTGTATACATGAAGCCTTTTTATTGGTTTTTTGCAGAAAGTGCATCCAGTCGCAGTAGTGGTCTACTTGCAGTACCTCAACTGCAGGGAGAACAGAATGCTTATATACCATACATCTATGCTAAAGAATGTATTCAAAGGGTATGTAGCCATTTCACTGCATCTTTCTGACTACATGAACATGAAATGTTACAAATTAACTAGACCAACATTTGGTAAGTTTCAAGGTTTGTCAGGGAAAGCTTGAACTGATTGGATGCTCTGACTTTTACATTTGTATTTTGTAGCCACAACCACATCATGAAAGAACTTAGTTGGAAGTTTATCGTATTGACCAAAGTCATCTTCCCTTGATAATTTTCTAATTGTCTGGTAAAAACTTACAAAAAAGTTAACAGCACGCTTGGACTAGAAACATGATTAATAATGCAAAATTGAAATTCCATGGCTTTTACTGATAGGAGTTCAAACTTAAAAACTTACTTTAGTCAGTGATCATCTATGCTGGCATAGGTGAAAATTCTCTGCTTTTTTTATTGTGATCCATTGTCTGTGGTATGGTGCAGGTTATGGATGATATGAAGAAGATGAAAAGTGGCCATGTAAAGGTTGTTGATAATATTCAAGAGCAATACAAAACTCTGGAAGATGATATTCAGGTATTCTCTTCTACATTTTGATGTATACTTTAGCCAACCTTGTAAAGACCCCTCTGCCAATCAGGCTGTTTGCTCTGACAAACAAGGGCCAAAGCTTGAAACGGCAGCTTTAGAAACTCTTGGTGGCCAATTCACATCATCAGCCTACACTGTAGTTGATTTAACCAAATTATCTAGCAGTACCATAAAAGACAACACTACACTGTTTCTCTAGAAACTCACCTCCTTTACCAGTAAGTTTGGTTAATTGATCACCTGGCTTTTGCCCACAATGAGTATCATCTTTTTTTCTCTGTTAGCCAACTAGATCCTTTTTGACCCATGAATAAAGTTTGTGCAGTATTCGTAGACTAGTTTCTTCTCTTCTGACTAACTTACCTCTGTTAATTAAATATGCATGTTTATCATTATAGGGAAATCTTACATATAATATACGCATCTTTTCCTGATTTTTGAAGATGTTTGGTGCATCAAATCTTGAGCAGTCTTTTTTTCTTATTGTTTGTATTCATTATAATTATTAACAATTATTGTTTTGATTTTTCAGGCCAAATTCAACACCTTTGTTCTTAACTTACGCAAGGAATATTCTAACAAAGTCACCACCTTCCGTCAAGTTATCACAATTCATCGCGAGGATTCATTTCGTACAAATACTTACTGGCAAGAAACAGTTAAGGTGAGGTCTTAACTCCAAGTGCCCATCCAGGTCTAGTACACCAAAAGTTAACTACTAAAAGGTTCATTTTTGAGACAGGTCTTTGCTGATCAAAATACACTCACGAATAACTCTTCACTTCCATGTGCAAATTACTAAAGGAAGAGATGCAGATCTTGATTATTTCTTTAGACTTTGTTGCCATTCTGTGAACAGCTGCATTTGTTTCCAAACTTGATACATTCATTTAATTTGCAAACAAAGCTAATTAACAGACTATGGTGTGAGAAATACAGTGGCTAGGTGGTTAATGTGGGGAACTCTGGATCAAAAGCTTCTTGTAGAAACCATTTCCAGGTCATTGTGTTTTTTTCCTGGCCAAGGGTTACATAACTCCCACAGTCTCTCTCTCCACACAGGGCCTGATTGTTTGAACGTAGGAGTATGGATGGTTAATAATAATAATAATAATAATGATAATGATAATAATAATAATGATAATGATAAATTGATACAAGCTTTATTAGCACTCAAAGCAAATAACTATTTACAAGTTAAAAGTAAAAACGACCCAATGGTAGTTCCGATTTCAATTAAAATCCTATTTACAAACTAATCCTTTTCATCATCATCATCAATATTATTATTGTCGATGCTAAAATAAAAATGCATCTTTATTGTTTAAGAAATAAAATTACACTAGCCCTAAAATATAATCATAATAATTTAATAAATTCACAAAAAGATGGAAACAAAAAAAAAAAAGAATAAATTAAAAAAAAAGTATATATAAAACTTGGTAAAATTCACAAAACTACGTTGGACAGGCGTTAGCGTTGTCGTTAATAATAATAATATTAATAATAAACTTTATTAATGTGTCAATTCAATATAGCAGTTTCCCACTAAATAAGGACACCTAAACTAAACTAATCTAATGTATATAAAATGCATAATAGATGCAATCCTGCCCTGTATAGTTAACCCTACCCTGTGTAATTAAAATTACCTAAAAGATTAGAAATACAATTATACTGATAATATAAAATATTAAGATTTACATAAAATACAGTTCTTGCAATTGTCTGAAGAGATTAATCTTTGTATATCTAATGTATGTAAAGCACTTTTAAATTCTTGTAGCATTCTTAGTGTTCTTGTTTTTCCATCTAACTTTGACCAAATTACTGGACCTAAGTACCTAAGAGAGTGCTTACCATAATGTGTTGTGCTTACCCTGGGAATAATGAAATCATTGTTTCTTAAATTATATCTATTATTATTAATGTCAAACAAGAACTTAATATTATTAGGGCAAAGATAATTTTTAACTATACATTAACACAGCTATATCATGTAAATCTTCTATTCTATAAGGTTGTTAATTTGGCCTTTATAAGAAGATCGCTATATGATGATATGCTCTCACAGTAAACAGCCCTAATTATTTGGCAATCTGTCAGGAAACCTAAAGATATGTTGAGGGGAGGGGGAGGTAACTTGTGATTGACTAGCATTCTATGGAGGGGGTGTACTACTCCTATTTGCTTCATGATGCAGAAGTCAAGAACTCCAAGAGATTGGGAATAAGGGTTTCCTGTCACCGTTTGCAGACTTTACAAAGTTTTTGATATTAACAGAATTTGTTTCAATCATAATCTTTTTTCAGAGTCTCCAAGACAAGAATCAGGCCCTCTTGAAGGAAAAAAGGCAATTGTTAGTTAAAAACAGAGAGGAGTTTACCAGGCTTGAAGAAGAGAAGGTGGGGAATTACAAAAAATATAAGAATTGTTGTAAAATCTTCTTGCATCTGTTTTTTTACCTCCTGCACATCCACTGATTTATTGGAAAGCTTTATTTGTTAGCAATTTAAATTAAATGACAAACACAAAGATCTGTAGGAAGCCCTAAAATGAATTCACAACCTATGCCAGCCATCTGACTAAAAAGTGTTTGTGCTTATAAAGATCCCTCCCCTCTATTAACAACTTTTCTTCCAATCTGTCCCCATACAGGCAGGAGCAGTGAAAGACTTAACAAGAATGCTTGATGAACGACATTCTAAATACACCATTTGTATGTAACCAATTTAATGTAATAATTGTAGACTTGAGATATGCGATTGATAATTACAATATTTCTTTATTAAAATTAACCCATGTGGTTGCAGTGCTGGCAGATTTTAAAAGTGAACAAGGAAAAGTTAGAGAGCTAGAAGAAAAGTTGAAAGCATTAGAAGAACAGGGGCTGAAACAAAAAGAGCAGAGTCAATCTTTGCAGGAAGAAATCAAAGTGCTAAAGGAAAAACATGAAGAAGAGGTTAGTGAGCTGAAACAAAAGCTAGAACTTGCTGAGAAAGAAAAACAAGAGGACAAAGAAGAGCATCAGAAGGTGTTGAAGGAGAAAGAGGAAGAAGAAACAAAGAAAATAAATGAGCTGACAGAAAAACACACGCATGAGGTAGATGCATTGAAAGCTGAAATCCAGAAACTGCAAGAAGAGATTGATGCTCTGAAAGCAAGGTAAGGTCTTGATATCTTTCACACTACTATGGAACTCTTTTAACAAGAGCAAAACAATAGATTTTCTTCTTTGGGAAAAGTTATTTTTAATATTTTTGAAATTGTCTTTAGAGTTGTGTGCTAGATCTCACTGAGAAATTTCCTTTTTTTCATCAAAATTTTCCAGGAAATGGTTTAACTTCTAATTTTAGTGGGACAAGAAGTTATGCAAGCTTTAATTAGGTACATTGTGATTCCATGGAAATGAATTGAAATGCAATCGACAGCTGCTCCCCACATAAGAAGTGTACAAAAAGAAGCCCCTAGCCAAAATTTAAATTTGGATTTTTATAAGCTATTCATTCCTGCAGTGAATGGATTGAACCAAGGAGGAAAGGTTGAATGTGAGGTCTGAAAAGAACAGGGTTTAGGGACAGTGATTGATGTTTCTACAACTCGACTGTTGATGATGGTGATGATATCAGCTCAGATCATCAAAATGTTGGTCATCATATTTACCAAAAGTCCCACAGAATGATCCTCACTTAGATGATCACACTACACTATCAGGTATTCATTACAAGCTAATCCCTGATTGTAATTTCGTTACAGTGCGGCAGCAGTCACAACAGCTACTGCGCTAACAACAACTGCAGTTATGTCAGAATCTACAGATTTACAACAGACTGGGATACCTAAAGAGGAAACCCAAGAGGAAGTAAAAGAGCAAGCTGAAGAACAACCTACGAGTGTGATTGCCACCACTGCTGCACCTACAGCCACTGTGACAGTCTTAGACAGTGCTGAAAAAGACCGACTTACTCAACAAATTACACAGCTTCAAGAAGAAATTGATAAGAATAAAGCAGAGACAACCAGGTATAAAGAGGAACTTGAGAAGGAAAAAGCAAGGATTTTTGAGCTGGAAGAGGAAGTGGGCAGTCTGGGCAAGGAAAAGACAAGATTTGAGAAACAGGCAACAGATAATAAACAGGTTTGGTGCTTCTTCTTCTTCTTCTTCTTCTTCTTCTTCTTCTTCTTCTTTTTCTTTTTCTTCTTCTTCTTCTTCTTCTTCTTCTTCTAATTATTATTATTATAATTATAATTATAATTATCATTGTTAAGTAGTTTTGTAGTGGTATCTGTCTGTCAATGTCAATGATGGACTGTATCAAAGAACTACATGAAGTGGCTTAAAGACAAATCAAATTACACATACCTGTATTTGTATCTAATCAATTGCCTTAAGTTTGAAGATCTACGTTCTCTTGAGGTACACATCTTTCCCGCCCATTTCAGGTTCTGGACATCTGAAGTAGGGATGAATACCTCTCTTCAACCAGGTTAATTGTACGGTCATGCCATGGTGTGTCCCTCATCACAGGATTTCTAATAAAGCATGCTTGAATCATTCAAAATGAGCAGCTGAAAGTATTATTTAGTTTAACAAAACCATGGCTGAAATCCTCCCTATGTTTAATTCTGTAGGAGCTCCGTGAAACAAGACAGCAATGTACCTCCTTGAGGGAGCAGCTGCAAGGCTTACTGGCTGCCACAACAGCAGCAGGACAAGTGGATGACAAAGAGACTGAAGAGAAGTTGAAAGCAGCTGAGGAAGAAAGACAGGCTTTGATAGATGAACAGAAAAGAATGAAGGAGGAGTTTGAGAAGTGGAAGGAGCAATATGAACAGGAACATGAGGGCAAGGAACCCACTGAAGATGACAGGTTTGTGACAGATTTTGGGCATAGGTGTTTTTTTTTTTCTGGAATCATACGCATTGTAATTTACTAACGCATGATGTGATGGACTGTCTCATTTGATTTACAGGAGTGAGGAAGTCCAGGCCATGATGGAAAAACTTACACAGGAGGAAGAGAAGCTGAAGAAAGCTGAAAATACTATTGCTGTTATGACAATGTTGAAGGAAGGGGCTGTTCCTGAAACTGTAGCCACAGTAGGGCTTGCTGATAGTGGTGGAAAAATAGAAGAACTGGAAGACAGGATCAGCCAACTTGAGGCAGCAAGGGATGAAGTAGAAGTGTCTGTTGAGAAACTTACAAAGGAAAAAGAAGCTTTGGACGAAAAAGGCTCAGAACCTGAGGAAAACAACAAGGAACTTACTGAGAAGAATTCTGAACTGGAGGAGAAAGTCAAAGATTTGGAGAAGGAAGTCGAAGATCTAACGAATGAACTAGACGAGGTTGGAGAAGGAGTCCCTTTGGCCACTCCAACTTTGTCAGTCGATGGACAAGATACTGAGGTAAGAACTCTTATCGATGGTTTAGACCTATTAATTCCTCAAACAACTTATCCCATTTATCCATAGCATGTTAACATTACTTTACTACAGGGAATGTCTGCCAAGATTTCTGAACTCAAGGAGGAACTTGCAAAAGCAAATGGAGAACTGGAGCAAGAAAAAGAAACATCATTGGCTCAAATTGAAGAGATTGAAGCTCTCAAAAAGGTTTGAATATTTTGAGTAGCTTCTAGGCAGTATTTACAATGTATGTTGATTCCTTAGCCAAAATGTTGGAAGTTCAACCAGAAAGGACCTGTATGTCTTTGCTATCAGTGAACCCATCGTCTTCCAGGTGTGACTGGCTTCTAATTTCTCCGAACAGTTTTACCCTTCAATCAATTATAAAGGTCTTGAGAATAAAGGAAATGATCATTCAAGAAGCTCCCAATTGTCCAACAAATTCTCCTTTTCACTACCATAGGAAATGTAAATAAAAAACAGTCTGGAGAATGTAAATACTAATGAAAGGATGTAAAGAGGCCTGAGCTGGTTGTACACTGTTACTCTGTCGCTTATCTAACTAAGCTGTCATCTCTTTTGAATAAAGGCTGATAGTTTCGAAAGAAACTGTTTGGGGCTGCGTCGGTGGGAGTAACGAAATAATTTGGATATATCAACAAAGTTGAAATGGTAAATTGGCCACCGTAATGATTACAAAAGCTGACGTTTCGAGCGTTAGCCCTTCGTCGGAGCTTGGCTCCGACGAAGGGCTAACGCTCGAAACGTCAGCTTTTGTAATCATTACGGTGGCCAATTTACCATTTCAACTTTGTTGATATATCCAAATTATGTCATCTCTTTAATTGTAGGAATTGGCAAGTTTGAAGGAGGGCTCATCTGGCGAAGTTGAAGAATTAAAAGCACAGCTTGCATCCACCAAGGAGATGTTTGAGGCTGAAATAAAACAAAAAGAGGAAGTACGTTCTTTTTAGTATGTGAACAACTTTATTGTTTGATTGTATCCTAAGGTGATGTGCATGTGTATCAATGGTCTTGGCTTATTCTGTTCAGGCACTGGCGGAAGCAAAAGCAAGAATAGAAGAACTTGAGAAAAAGCTTTTGGAAAATGTTCCCATTGACACAGCTAAGGAAATTGGTGCATATCAAGAAAAAATGGTCAGTTGACAAAGATAATAAATGTTGTTTATGACTGTCTGAATGCGATGATATGATTGTCTAAAGGCTTGATATAGTCTAGTGTAACTTTGATTGCAAACATTGCAATTGTTTGTTTGCTTAAATATTCTAGGTTATGTTTTAGTATGAGGTTCTACTGTTTGATATTTTTGAAGGCCGCTCTTGAGAAGGACAAGGAGAAAGCGACGAAGGAAAGTGTGCAGCTTAAAGCCTCTGTGACAACACTTACTGCAAAAGTTGAAACACTGAACAAGAATATTGAGCTACAGAAGCAAACAGAAATAGAGTTACAGGTTGGTTAAGCTACAAAAAAAAAAAAAAGACTCCAATATTGCTGAAAGAGTGATTGCTCTCTTGAGTGCTTGACTTATGCGCCTTGATTGGGAGACTACTGTGACGATGTTTGATTTTTTTTAACAGTGCGAATGAACAACTGGGGTGACCCACTTAAGGAACGATCTGCCCTCTGACAAACGTTTTTACTAATTTACTGACAACGCATAGTGACTGATTAAAAAAATAGTGTTCGTACATTTGGAGACAGCTTACCAACATCTGAGTACTTAAGAATTCACTAACCAGCAGATTGACGCCTTCTGTTTAACTTACCAAGCAACCAAGCCAAAATGTTGTCTCGTGGGATACCGACCCACCAAAGGACAGACTATGTGTGATTGAACGACTATCTGTCTGACTTGCTCTCTTACTAATCTACTGGCTGCCCAACTGACTTTGTGTCTTTTTGTCTGTTAAACTGGCTTGCTGATCGACTGGCAGCCCAACTGACCGTCTGTGTGTTTGTTCGTTTGTTTGTCTCTGACAAACCAAGTGACTGTATGCTGACCCACTCACTAACCAGTTGACCTGTAGGCTATACAGTGTAGTTATTAACTTTCATTTACTGCCTTTGTTTTAACAGGAGACAAACAAAAAGATGCGTGCAGAGAGGGTGAAAGAACTGAAGAATGCCAAGGAGCAGGGAGATACAAAATCTAAAAAACAAATAGAGGAGCTGAACAAGAAGATACAAGCTCTTCAAAAGAGGGTATACTCAGAAGTGTGACTGGAGTTCCTGAATTCAAAGTGACAATGATCTGATTTTGATTTTCATGTTTATTTTGGCGGGTTATTTTTTTATCTTCGTGTTTTCATTTCTGTCACTTTCATGGAATTTTTTCTAGATCAAAGAACTTGAAGCTGCCGCAGTGAAACCTCAAGATTCCAAGATTGATACAGGGCTGAGTGGAGGTTCAAAGAGAAGGGTAATTTGATTACCAATTTTCTAATTGTCCTTTGAAATGATCGGTGACTCGAATAATGCGATCGACTACCACAAGACCCTGCTTATATGTTATCCATTTTTTCGCGTGGTCCTTCTTTTATTTGCTTCTGCTGTTGGTGAGATTTGTAAAGTCTTTTACATTTTGTAATTGATTTTTCTTTTTCTATATCAGAGTTAATTTCTGTCTTATCGTTTTCCTATCCCCCAGACCTCCCTCCCTTAGGCTCCTTTTGTCCCCCTCCCCCTCCCTCCAGTTTGACTCGACAGTGTTCTTGTTACAGGATTCAAAAGCAGCTGCAGACTCAGAAAAATTAAACAAAGAAAAGGAGAAGCTTCAGGCCCAAGTTGAAGCATTAAAGAAGGCTGCGCACGAGGACCACAGCAGAATTAAACAACTTGAAAAGGACCTTAAAGAGGCTCAGACGAAATCCAAGCCGGCCGGACCTTCAGCTGAAGATGTATGTAGCACGAAGACTGCTGCTTGAATTTGAATTCTACACTCGTTCTATCTCCTGTTGAGTGACCTGATTTTTTTTTCCCTCTTTTGTTTGCAACAGAGAGCGGCAGCCAAAAAGGCGGAGAAGCAACTTAAAGGTACATTAGCTGGTAGCCAGCTTAACTGCCGTATTTATCTATTTATTTATTTTTGCGTTTTTAACGCGAGCGGTGGCATGCACAAAGTATGCGTAAAGGGTGAGTCACGTGCCCACTCACCTCGCGTGTCATTTCGCCCGTCATTGGCGCCTCGTGTTCGCTGCCTCAACAGCTGCTAACACCATGCCTGATCATAGCAGCTCTCATACTTTTTGGAAAATGATAATGGCTTGATCTTTCGATAATTCTTCGACAGACTTGCAGAAGAACCTGGAAACGGAGAAGAAAAAGTTTGAGAAAGTTAAAGAAACCTTAACAAAAACTGAGGAAGAATTCAAAGTTCTCAAAAAGGTTTGGTTGTTTTTCTTCAGATATTCTGAATGAATTACAAGTTTTTACCATGTACTTTGCAGTAAAGTTTGACTCTGGACTAACGTTTGAAACGTCAACTTTGTTAATTCGCTACGGTTAGAGTGTCGAAAGTAATTTAAGATGACCCTGGTTTTACTCTACTCTATGCTCCGCTCTGTGATTGATCCAGAAAACACGTGTCGCCTTCTGAACCAATCATATGCAAACTTGAAACCACACGTGTCCTGTTCACTCTCGTTTTCCCGTGCTTCAGGCAGTTTGCATGCTTTTACTTTCAGTTCTCATTGGCTCCTTGTCGTACTTGTCTGTTGTGATTGGGTTTTGTGATCGTGACAGCCAGTCACAACAAAGGAGGTTTTACTTAGTTCTTATTGACCGAGCGGGAGGTCTGTATGGGAATCTTGACCGAGGTCGCCGGTACAGACCGAACGCATTGAGGTCTGTACCAGCGATCTAGNTGAAACGTCAACTTTGTTAATTCGCTACGGTTAGAGTGTCGAAAGTAATTTAAGATGACCCTGGTTTTACTCTACTCTATGCTCCGCTCTGTGATTGATCCAGAAAACACGTGTCGCCTTCTGAACCAATCATATGCAAACTTGAAACCACACGTGTCCTGTTCACTCTCGTTTTCCCGTGCTTCAGGCAGTTTGCATGCTTTTACTTTCAGTTCTCATTGGCTCCTTGTCGTACTTGTCTGTTGTGATTGGGTTTTGTGATCGTGACAGCCAGTCACAACAAAGGAGGTTTTACTTAGTTCTTATTGACCGAGCGGGAGGTCTGTATGGGAATCTTGACCGAGGTCGCCGGTACAGACCGAACGCAGTGAGGTCTGTAACAGCGACCGAGGTCAAGATTCTTCCATACGGACCGACCGACCTAGCTCGGTTAATAAGATGTTTATTATATGGCTGTCTTATCTGCCAATTTTTTATACTCTTTGTACCTTTTTTTTCTAGATCGGTCTAGAATGCCGGTCTAGATGGGAAAATCTAGACCGCTTTCAATATTGATTTCAGCCAATCAAATTCGTGAATTCGGTAGTTCCCAGTCCTTGTGAGACACAGCCATATAATAATACACTAAATTGACAATCATTCTATTGCATCAGTGCTAAGGTGATATCTCGCTCTAAATGTCAGGAACATGATGCTCTGTTAGCCGACAGTAAGAAAGATAAGGACACTCTTTCTAAACTGGAAGCTGCAGCACAGGTACGCTTCAAGTTTGTACTTCATCTGAGTTAAGTAACGAAATTGATTTTGAAAACGCGAACGGGATATTTAGTAATCTCCGATTTGATATTTTTGTCAATAACAGGAAGGTCTTGCCGCTCAAGAGAAGGTGGATGAGTTGACGAAGGAAGTGAAAGAACTCAGAGAGGAGAATAAGGCGCTTTCAGACAATTACAATAGTGAGAGGGTAAGACGCTAAACATTGTTCTTCGAAACGCGCACGTGGCTTTTCAGTTACATTTGAACTCTCACTCTTCATAGCAACCAGTAGTGTGTTGCGTAAACGACGTAATGGTTTTCCACGTGTTTCAAAAAAAGAAGCGAGAGAGAGGCTGATACAGTACATCACTTATGGCCAGAAATGCACACAGTAACGAAAATACTAGATTGACGAAATTGTGTCAAACCGTACAACTTCGTCAACAACCTCAGCCAAATTTCCTTATAATCACACTTTCGCCAAATTCGTCGTTTTTTCGCCAAATTCGCCAACGTTTTGGGGCCCTTCTAGCCAGGTCATATCTATTTACTGGTATAATTTCGTCAACAACCTCGGCCGAAATTTCACCAGAATCGTCACTTTCGACAAAATTTCCACAGATTGACAAGTTTTGTCAATTCCGTCAAAATCGTCGACAAGATTACGTCAAATCTGCCATTATTGCTATCTAGCGTCTTGGTGTCCCTTTACAATTCTTCGGTTCTTCAGTTCCAGCCGCTTCTTGCGTGCTTTCAGTAGAACAAAGCGCTGTACAGGCTTCCTTATTCATTTAATATATGCTTTTTAGAGTTTTAGTAAGTATGTTCATACCCCGTTTCTCCCGGCAGATTTTGCGTAAGAAGTATTACAACATGGTGGAAGATATGAAAGGAAAGATCCGAGTTTACTGCAGGGCAAGGCCGCTTAGCAGATCAGAGCTGGAAAGGGTAAGATTAGAGAGTTTTCTGTTAGTTAGCATTGTGTAGCTATCATGTTTGCATTAGATCTCGTTGTCCACAACTTCAGGATAGTTAACTTAATAGTTAACCTTTTTTATAGAGCAAGTAAAGTCTCACTACCTTAGTCTCTAATTAATAGCATATTCATAAGGCGGGAATGTAGCTATTCACTAAGAGACCAAGAAGCAATAACCATACCTAGATTCAACACTAGATTGTTAAAGGACTCTTTAGCATATAGAGGTTTTGTGCTATGGAACTATGTTAACCATCATTTCAAAAATGTAGGTAGTTTCGCCCTTAAGAATCTTAGGAGGCTACTCATGAGAAATAATCACTTCACAAGCTTTACTTTTACTAGTTTATCAGGTTCGACGGCTAGGAATAGATTAACTGATTACAAGGATTTTTAAGTTGAGAGGACAATTGAATGTTTTACTGTATTATAGTTTCTTTCTTAGTTTGAAATGTGTTTTAGTATAATCAATAGTTCACTAGATACTATTTTGTTAAGTACACGACCCCACAAGCTTTTTAGCTTTAATTCTTTTCGTGTATAAATAAAGATTCTATTCTATTCTATTCTATTTTATTCTGTTCTATTCTATTCTGTTCTGTTCTATTCTATTCTATTCTATTCTATTCTGTTCTTTTCTGTTGTGTTGTGTTCTGTTCTGTTCTATTCTAGGATGTTCATTCTTCGGCTGTTACTTAGAATCTCTCCGGCTAAACTTGATGTCCAGAGCTATCTTTTATTTAGACGTGAAGAATACCCTCTGGTCAATACTCTCCTAACACTAGTCCTTTGCTACCACATTTCTCAACCCTTTGGCCTTTAAGAGTTACTAGCATCTAGATTCTCCTTACATATCCCCCCTGAATCACGCTTGAAGGTCATAAGAATAAAGGAAATGATCACCAACTAAAGCAGCTCCTGATTCTTAAACAAATTCTCCCTCTGAGCACCTCAGACAACGTATAGAGGAGAGTATGGAGAATATGCCTTAAGGATGTAAAGGGTTGACTGGGAGTTGTTTTGTAACAATTTAGGGCAACCATTCAGTGATCAAGTCACCTGACGAGTACTCTCTTGTCGTGGAAACCAGCCGTGGTCCAAAAGATTTCCAGTATGACGCCGTATTTACACCTGATCACGGCCAGGATAAAGTGTTTGAGGATACAAATGTAAGTTAGGATGTTTCTTGATTAAGTGACGTGATACCAAAACCAAAGTAGTCTCAGTGGCCAATGAGAAGAAAGGAAAATATCACTTGACGAGAAGCATAGGAGAACTTAAAGTGATAATAACCAAACCTCTTGAAAGGCGGGGACTGAACGCAGGTTCAAAAAACATGTACGTTGTGTTAATAGAATGTATTTCATGTCTTGTGGTGATCTCAGGCCATTAGTTGTTTTTGTGATAGATCCAATTAGTCGAATCTCCTATACACGTCCAAAATTATCTCTGTCACTCACTGCGACGCCTTCTCGCTTAGCCAATCGCGTGAGTGAGCGACGGATGCGTTTTCTACTACTTGGTGTGTCCGTCTTACGAGCGCTTCAGCGCCTGCATTTTAACCGTGATTCTTTTCTCTCTCATGTCAGAATCTTATCCAGTCAGCTGTGGATGGTTACAATGTGTGCATCTTTGCTTACGGACAAACGGGCTCTGGTAAAACATATCCTTTACTCTAAAAATGAATATTTCTCACCTATATTCGAGAACAGAACGCTAAGCATCGATGACTCAGAGTCGAGTTCCAAACAAAGACCACCCATACAGTTTAAAAGACTCGAGGGTAACGCTTCCTTTGAAATTCTATAGTTCCTTTCTGCAAACATATCTTTGATTGAATGCTGCCGTGGGATATACCGTTTTTCATCGAATAGGCGCCTAGGCGCTCATTTCAAATTTCGGCTGAAAGGAGGGGTGCTATTGAAAGGACACTTAATTTTCCTTGCATCCTTGCTATTTAAGAAAGTGAGCGGGAGTGCTTATTCGAGAAAAGCGCTGGTATGATGTTCTGGCCCAGAGTGTAGGCTCTTATCAGTCGATGAAATACGCTATTTGTCCTGGGAATAAATGAAGGAATTTACCCTGAGATATCTACAAGAAAACATCCCAAGGGCATTTCGTCAACTGTTCATTACTTGGAGTTTGTTCCCGGTGAAAGAAAAAAATGTAAATTATCACTGTTCCAAATATTACATTCCTTAACGTTCCTCACCTACACTATGATTGGTGACAAGGAGCTCAAGTCACCCGGCATCGCCCCACGTGCAATGGACGCCATCTTCAAATTGATGGAAGAACAAAAGTGAGTAAGATCTATTGATTGGGCGCATTTCGATAGAATGTCATCAAAAAAAGAAACGAAACAAACTGACGAAACAACAAAAAGAACGACAAGCATTGTGGTCTACGGGCCTTGATTACAAAAATTGTGTCGTTGGGGGGCACCTGCAAAATTCCCTTTCATATATTGTAAACTGCTCAATGCACTTTGGCCAAAGTCACCCGCAAAGTGTTGTAAGGAGCATTAGAGAGCATTCATATGGAGAATGTGCAAGAACAATTACTGTCATTATTATTTTTATTATCGTTTGACGCGACTCGCGAATGTAGAGCGTCATGGCATGATACAAAATAATGATCGTGAATTTACTCGCTTATGCCTGGATTTACTTTTTTTTTTTCAGGTCCAAATTTTCTTTCAAGGTTACATGTTACATGATGGAGTTATATAATGATAAGCTGATTGATTTACTTGCACCTCATGGTAAAGAAGTATCCTTTGAATTGTCGCGTTTCTGTGTTACTGTTGGTCACATCTAAAACGTCGGGTGCTTTTATTAGTGTTTGCTATCCTCGATTTCAGGTGCTTCATACTTCTTCGAGAAGTAACCGCTGAACTTAACAGTGGCAGACTCACATCCTTAAATCAAGCTGTGTCTTCGCCAGACTACTGATGAAGTCCATCGTGCGTGTCCAAAAAAGCAAATTGTGGCTAGTGCGCCGTGTGGAACTCTGGGAGTGAGGCGCCTCACTCCCAGCGGGGGAGGGGAGTGGATTACCCAGACAGAGGTTGATTATTGAGCTTAACGTTTGTTTTCCTTGACAATCATATAATTATATGATTCGTAAAAACCACTTAATTTAAATTGTAGTTTAAGTGATCTTTTACCCTTAACACTTTGAATAGCCAGCAAAACTCGAGATCAAGAAAGACAAGAAGGTAAACAATAAATGAATTGATTAGGATTGAACTAAAATCTCATTTATCAATTAAAACCGTAAGCTTTCCTTCCACATAATAACTGATCTTTGCCGATCCTCTCGGGTTTGGTTTCCAGGGTCTTGTGTTTGTACACGGATCGATGATGATGGAGGCAGCTACTAAGGACGAGCTTTGGACCATATTTGAGAAGGGCTCTGAAAACAGACACGTCTCTTCAACAAGTGAGAAAGAAATTTTAATTTCCCTGCGTTAGATTGACCCACCGATTCAAACGAAAACATCCCTTTTACCACTAAGAGTGACTGCCTTCTAATTTCTTATAACATGATCACCCCTGAATCAAATATAAAGGTTACAAGAATCTTCTTCGTATACCTCGTCATCGATTATTTTCGCCGCACCACTGACTTTCCTTTTTTTATTTAGAAATGAATGCGGAGAGTTCTCGGTCCCATCTTATCCTTGGAATTATTATTGAGAGTACAAACTTAACTTCTGGTGCCGTTCTCAAAGGAAAGGTGAGTAATTTCTGGGTCTCTTTGTGTATTTTTTTTTTCTGTCTAATACACTTGTCAGTTTTTCCTATGAAAAAATGTGGTGTCGGATTTTTGTACCCTTAATACTCGATTTTCCTTGTTCTTCCGTGCGTGACAGATTGTGAATTATGTGTTTTTATTTTTTAGATCAGCTTGGTTGATTTGGCAGGATCTGAACGTGCTGCAAAAACGGGTGCAAGCGCCGAACAGCTCAAGGTAGTTTTCTCGAGACCCAGCAAGAATGTTCTACGTTTTTCTTTGGTGTAGAATCTCATAAACGCAAACGCTGCTTTACACCAAGTTCTTTTTTTCTTTCCTCTTTTTACCTTTCACTTGCTTAATAACTGAATGTTTGATATGTGTCCCACAGGAAGCCCAATCGATTAACAAGAGTTTAAGTGCCTTAGGAGACGTAATCTCGGCTTTATCCAGCGAGCAGCAGTTTATTCCCTACAGAAACAACAAACTTACCTTGCTCATGCAGGACTCATTAGGTAAGATGGCGAAAAAAATGCAAATGAATCACGCCATAGGAATATTAAGAACAATGGCGTTCAGTTTCTGTACCAAAACGGATCGACTTATTAGGGGACTTTTTTTGATTTGGTGGTATTAACTCAAGATTTATGTAAACACAACGGCCACTTACTGCCCAGGAAGCCAGCGAGAGCTCAGCGTTAAAGCAAGCATTCTGCTTGAAGCGCAAGAAAAATGCATGTGACCAAGTAAACTACTTGCAGCGCGGGTGACCAAGTCGCGACTTGTTGACCAATCGCAGAGCCAAATACAGCAAAATCTGATGTATCCTGCCCTACTTTCCACACTCAAGTGAAAACTGCGCTTTATTGTTTTCTTTGTTTTTTTTTTTTTCTACAGGTGGTAACGCAAAAACTCTTATGTTTGTGAACATATCCCCCGCGGATTACAACACAGATGAGACTATCACATCTCTGACGTGAGTACTTAAACTTAAACTTAACCTTACATTGACAGTTTGAAAGTACAAGAGTTCCTAAGTATTTATCGTTTGTCTCGCGATGCAGTCACTTCCGATATATAGGGCGACGTTTTTATCCTATGCTTTTAGTCATTTTTGCTTATTTTACTATGTTCTCTTTTCTGACTTATGTTTGCGTTGGTATCTCGCGCACTGTTTCTCCTCCTTTCTGTTTGATTGTTTCTTTAGTGTCTGAACGTTTTTTATCCCTCTCCGGTTTGTTTGTCATGCTATCATCTGCAGCACCTGCGAACAGTTTTTATCCCTCTCCGGTTTGTTTGTCATGCTATCATCTGCAGCACCTGCGAACAGTTTTTATCCCTCTCCGGTTTGTTTGTCATGCTATCATCTGCAGCACCTACGAACAGTTTTTATCACTCTCCGGTTTGTTTGTCATGCTATCATCTGCAGCACCTGCGAACAGTTTTTATCACTCTCCGGTTTGTTTGTCATGCTATCATCTGCAGCACCTGCGAACAGTTTTTATCACTCTTTGGTGAACATGGTGGTATTATTCAAGGAATAATTTTGAGTCGTGACGAAACTTCGCCAACATTCTCACATTTTTAAACATTTACCTAATTTGCTGCGTTCATTTTGTCCATCCCAATTTAATTTTAGTTCCCTATTGATATACTTAATTGTCGCTCACTTTTCGATTCAACCGTGTTGACAAAAGCATGCAAAAACGACTTCTTGACTTTGAAACAAACTAAAAATGTCTACGCAAAGTAATACCAGTGTCTGTTTATAGGTATTGTATGGGAAGAACAATCTTTGAGCAGGATCAGTAGTCACTCTGTTCCTCTCTCTGCCTCTTTGTTGTCCTCACTGATTTCTTCTTTCCTGAAACAAACATTTTACATTTGTCACTGTTCACTTTAAAAGCAAAAGGAACAGATTTCCTATAGAAGAAGTTACTTCCTTCTTCAATGTCATTGGCTATGATTTTTCAGCCTTTCCAAATTATTGCCGGACATACCATGCTTAATTCGAAAGATCATCATTTAATTGTTTCTGTGGTTAATTTTTTTCAAAATTAAGTTAACTTTTTTAGAGCTAACTTTTAAAAGTTTCTCATATTACTTTCATCGCCATAATGTCTAGCATCGTATCGACCTTGAGCAGTTATTTCTGAATATTACCTTCTATACAAAAGAAACTCTTTTTTAAGACAAATTTTAGGAAGCAATTCATCAAAATCTTCCGGCTCCGAGCACTAGATAAAATCAACTTCTTTTTCTTGACATTGAGGAAAGAAAGATAAACAGAAAGGAACAAGTAAATATAATGTGATTTCAAAAAGAAACTGAAAAAGTCAAGTGTGTTAATCGGTTTATTACAGAAAACTGCGTATTACAATCAGTCTTACCCTTTTTTCACAAAATTAAACGTCACGTTATCCCCTATCAGCACAAAGGGAGCCCATTGGGAAGCTTTGGGGAACCCATTGCTTCTCAACCATTGAACGGCTTGGTGAAGAGATTCACTGGCACTTTCTCCACGAACAAGGTGTTTATAGAAATGCTCCATGAGCTTCGCCGTTGCTTCGTCTTCTATAGCCCACGATGCTACCAACACTGAACGTGCACCAGATGCTAAGAATGCTCGAGCGATTCCAATAACTCCTTCCTTTTTAACTAATCCACGCCCACTGAGACAACAGCTGAGTACAACCAGTTTAGCTCGCACTTGTACTCCTTGAATGTCGGACATTGTCAGGAGGTAGTCTTCCTCTTTTGGAGTACTTTTAGCAGTACACTGGGCACTGTTAGTATTACGTTGAGGAGAGAGGGTAATCTCTCCTCTATTAGCATTTCCATGTGCGGCAAGATGTATCAGACTCACCAGAGGCATTTCTCGAAGTACCGCCTGCTTTGTTGCGTGACTTCCTGTTAAAGGCTGAACGCCCATCAATCGACCAACCATCTCTGCTTCCTTACTTGCACAGAACAATGGTGTAACGTTAATGACTCGTCCATTGTAATGCACTTCGCCAACCGTAGGATTACCCACTACCAGTGCATCAGTTTGACTGTGATAGCCCACTGGACTCTCTTCAATGACACGGAGAGTCGTTATTGAAGGGACGATGCGTATTCTGTACTTCTCCGATAAACACTTTCCGGCCGGTTCATCACGCAGGGCAGCAAACGGGACTCGATACGAAAAACGATCCGGCACAATGATGATTTCAGGCTCTGTAAGTAAATCTGCCACAGGCGCGACAATCCATTTGTAGCACAAATTATGAATTCTTTCGGTATCATTGATTTGTTCACCTCGCAAATTTGCTCGATTCTCTTTATGAAGAGATGTCGTCACGCCGTCATACAGAGATCGATCTTCGCAGTTCGCTGTGGGTAAAACGCCAAAGCCAGCGGCGCACTTTTTGAAAATTCCTTCCACATCGCAAACTTGCTCAGCATCAAGAGTGTTTACTTTCGCTTCTGTTTGTCGAAAGCAAGTGTCTCCATTTGCTTTCAATACCCAAAAAAGAACGTACCGCTGTGCATACGAAATGTGCATAAAAACATAGTTACTTTCTCTTTTCACGATTTTTTCAATCCCGAATCATTTATGTGGATCAGCTGAGATGTGGCTTTCCGCGGAGTATTTGTCTGCCATTGATTCTGCGAGGACTCGTGCTCGTCCCAGTTCCTCGAGATAGAGAGCATCTCGAAATTTTCCAATAAGGCAAAGCAAGGAACTGAGTAACTGATAGATAAAAGTACCGTGTTCCTCGAAAAGAGACATTTTAAGTTTACTGCTTTCTTTCAGAAGAGTGTTCATTTGTTCGTATTTTCCTAAACTTTGTAGAAGATATTTCTTTGCCTCCTCAAGTTCCCCTTGCGATATCTTTAACTTAGGAAGAAAGAGAAAGCATTTAAACTCAGCCATTTTGTCTCCAGTTTGGCTGCTTATGGACTAAGCTTTCTCTAAACAATCTTCTGCCTTGCCACGTTCACCAAGTAATTGGTATATATTGCCAAGGTTTATGTAAACACGTGCTTCGATATTTCTATGGCCAGCTTCTCTGATGATGGTAAGAGCCTTCTCTCAATGTTCTTTTGCTTTCTGATTGTCATTCATAGAAGCAAATACAGTTGCCAAACTCACAAGAACGCAGGCTTCTCCTAATCTGTCACCAATTGCTATACTGCTGCCAACTGCTCTGTCCAAATATTCTTTAGCTTGCCGATTTTTTCGGAAATGAAAATAAACATTTCCAAGACAATGGTATGCTGCACATTCACCCTGTATGTCGCCAATTTCTATCGCGAGGGCAAGTGCTCTCTCGTGATATTCTTTAGCTTTCTGATACTCGCCAAAAGATTCAACCACAGCTCCGAGGTTCTGGTGCCTTGTTTCTTCTCCTTTTCTGTCGCCAATTTCTTTCGCGATGGCAAGCGATTTCTCGTAATGTTCTTTAGCCATCTGATAATCGGTAAGGGAATGAAACACAGCTCCGAGGTTCCCATAACTTGTTCCTTCTCTTCGTCTGTCACGAATTTCTTTCGCGATGGCAAGTGATTTCTCGTGATATTCTATAGCCTTCTGATTTTCGCCTAGGGAATGAAACACTGTTCCGAGGTTCCCGTACCTAGCTCCATCTCCTTGTTTGTCGCCAATTTCTATCGCGATGGCAAGTGATATCTCTTGATATTCTTTAGCTTTCTGATATTCTCCACGGTGAATAAAACCAGTTCCGAGGTTCCCGTATAATAATCCTTCTCCTTTTCTGACGCCAATTTCTATCGCGATGGCAAGTGCTTGCTCTAGATATTCTTTAGCCTTCTGGTATTCGCCAAGGAAATACAACACAGATCCGAGGTTCCCATAAAGTGTTCCTTCTTTTCGTCTGTCGCGAATTTCTATCGCGATGGCAAGTGCTTTCTCTTGATATTCTTTAGCCTTCTGTTATTCGCTAAGGGAACAAAACACAATACCGAGGTTCCCGTATAATAATCCTTCTCCTCTTCTGTCGCCAATTTCTATTGCGATGGCAAGTGCTATCTCGTTATATTCTTTAGCCTTTTGGTATTCGCCAAGGGAATACAACACAGTTCCGAGGTTCCCATAACTTGTTCCTTCTTTTTTTCTGTCGCGAATTTCTATCGCGATGGCAAGTGCTTTCTCTTGTTATTCTTTAGCCTTCTGATATTCGCTAAGGGAACAAAACATAGCTCCGAGGTTCCCGTATAATGTTCCTTCTCCTTGTCTGTTGCAAATTTCTGTCGCGATGACAAGTGCTTTCTCGTTATATTCTTTAGCTTTCTGATATTCTCCAAGGGAACAAAAACACAATTCCGAGTTTCCCGTATACTGCTCCTTCTCCTGGTCTGTCGCCAATTTCTGTCGCGATGGCCAGTGCTTTCTCGTGACATACTACAGCCTTCTGATATTCGGAAAGGGAATACAACAGAGATCCGAGGTTCCCGTATCTTATTTCTTCTCCTTGTTTGTCGCCAATTTCTATCGCGATTGCAAGTGCTTTCTCAATGTGTATTTTTGCCTCCTGCATTTCAGCGAGGCGCTCACATACCTTTCCAAGTCGTTCATGAGCCATTGCTTCTTCTCTTTTGTGGCCAATCGTTTGCATGGTTGTGAGTGCGCTTTTGAAACATTGCTTTGCCTCTACAAACCGGCCCTGTGCTTTAAGTTTGTCACCTAGTTGTATGGTTAGTCTTTCAGCGTGGATGAACGTGTAAAGAAGTTTCTCAGCATATCTTTCCGCACGTTTGAAACCAGAGATGGCGTTGTACGCATTGAATATCACATCGTAAATATCAAGGTGAATACCAGAGTCAAGGTTTTTAAGAAGAATTACACATTCATTGCATAACTGGGTCGCATGTGGGCCACGATCAGTCTTGAGAAGAAATATGGCATCATCTAAACCTATCTGGACTGATTTTAGGATTTCTGCAGCGTTATTCATTACAACTCTTTTCTGGTTACCGTGGAAAAGAATTAACAAAGAAGTAAACCTGAAAAAGGTAAAAATAAAAACTGACAATGTTGGAGTCCATAAACTTTTTAGGGAAGTAGCTGTTTTCTTCCTTGTCTGAGGGCAACATTACTTTTTAACTCTTTTTTCTCAGTGAATCAGCTGGCTTGCCGTCAAAGAAGTGATGGAAATGTAGCTTCTCCTTACAATATTAATTTACCATACAGCAATCAAGAAGTGAAAGTTATTATAGGGTGTTTTCTCTATCATTTCCAAGTTTCAATCCTAAGCATTTTAGCGGATTATATTTCTAAACTGAATAAATATTTAGCCACATATTTTGAAAAAAGAAAAGTTCCTCGGATAGGTAGGAGACCAAAATCAATAAACTGATATCAAATTTTCTCCGCAAAGCAACGAAGAGTGCAAAGAGGTAGCGTAAGATCGAATTTGAAAATTATCGGGAAAAAGTAATCATTGTAAAAACCTGAGAAGGATGGAACTTTCACAAATATTAGAGCTCAGCCAACCAGTCACAGACTAGTAGAAATTCAGTTTTGGCTGGTGGTTTTCGATTTCCACAAACCAGTTTGGTTGGTAAACAAACTGAAATCGTCGTAACTTCTAAGTTGTCACCAGGCACCAGGCTAATAAGTTAAAAAGTTAGTGTCGAGCCCTGTTGCACATTATTGGTAAGAGTGTGGTGGTTTAAAATTGCCCTTTGCCCGACTGCTTGAAACCTTGAAGTTACAGAATTGAGAAGTATGCTGCTTCTCTTTCCGAAATCAACGTATTATTCATTGAACAAGTGGCGAGAATACTTGTCAGCTGAGGATGAACATGGTTTCTTAAAACAACGTCAAATTTTCACTACTGACCAACAAGGTAGTGTGAAGGAGTTAGAAGGAATAATTGTTGACGAGATCATAAATTCAAAGAGTTAAGGTGTTTTGCAATCAAATCAAATCAAATATTGATCCGTATTTGTTAGGTCTTCACAAATATCAGATCGTTTGGAATTAGAACTCTTTTATCACTGAATTTCCTCAAATTTGAACTCAAAATATGTATTTTAAGGAAAAAATGCGAGAAAAGAACAACTGTTATTACAGTTGTTATTGTTAGTAACAAACCTTTTTAAAAATAAACAAGCAGTACAGGAGCTGAGCACGCAGCTCGTGTGAGAACAAATTGCTGAGTTTGGTCGGTTGAAAGAATCACTTAAAATGTCTGCGAACAGATTTTAAACTGTAGTTGGCAGTATCTTGGTCTTATGAGATTTATCAACAGAGGTGGCGGGGCGTTTTGAAACGTGGGGGCAGCTTATCTTCGCCCAGCCATGCGTATACCCCTACTTAAAATTTCCAAAATGCCTTTCGAGTCATTCGGTGGCACAAGCAAACGTCTTTGCAATCTTTACAGTTTCAAGTGTGACCGTGATCGATTTCTGATTTACTTTCATTTTTCCCGGCACATTCTAAAATCTTGTGGTATAGCTTTCGATCGGGTTCCCACAAACAATTCCATCATGTCCGATTACCTAGACGCGTTGTCAAGTTTAATGCAGAGTTGCTGCGGTTGGTGATCTTCTCTAACACAGGCCGGAGCTGTTCAAGAAAAGTTTTAGAACATATTATTTCGTTCAGCGCGATGATGGGAAGAGATTGTTCCCACACGTTGGAACGGTTGAATTCGCGTACAAATGATCACCTCAGAATCGAAGATTTCACGGTTTATTCGGAGCACATGGTCATTACACACTAGCCAAGATGGCGTCCGATAGTCGATCTGTCTCACGAGGGCATGCGCCCGCGATACAATCAAGTAGAATTACTCTGGCAACTGCCAAAATGGTTAAACATTAATTATCAGTTATTTTGTTTCTTAACAGAGATTACAAGATTGAATATTTTACCAATGTTTATTCTGTGTTGAAGCAATATTTTGAGCACTAAAACGTGGGGGGTGGCTGTGCTTTCCAAATTTTTGTTCGGGGGAGGGGGGGGGCTTAAGCCTCCCTGTCCCCTTCCTCCTGCTCCGTCGCCTTTGTCGTGTGGCTGAAATTTCTCCCTTAAGTATCACTATATTCTTCAGCCAACAGTTTTAGAGAGTAAAGAAGTGTATCAGCTTGACTGTGTTAAATTGACGCAACACCTCATTCTCTTAAAATATTCACAGTGACATTTTTACTCACAGAAAGGAGATTTAGTTATTAGATCATGGAAGTGAAAGGCCCAGAGTTGAGTTAATTATTCTATTTTTAAGACTCTAATACGTTTAAGGCAAGTTTTTAGAAACAAATCTTTGTAATAGTCGAAGATTTTTCGAGTTTTAAATCTTCTGCCACCGACTCGGAGTGTTCAGTCCAAAACAAAAATCGGGAAAATATTGTTTCTAAATTTATTTTTTACAGTTGACCTTTTAAAACAGAACCCAGGCTTGTTTAATATTCTATCGTATGACTGACGAGACCAAAGTAAGAAACTAAAATAGAAATTTTTCTGCAAAACATAGATAAATGCAAATAGCTATTGTAAGAAAGACATGAAAAGTTGATAGGTGAAAAGAAAGATTTGAAAACCATAAAGGAACAACGGATACCAAGTGTAAGGATTGCGTACGATTTCTAAAGGGCAAAAATAGCCGTTTAGGAACCTGGAAATCAATCGCACTCAATCTTTCCCGTAAATTAAGCGCACAACACAAACTTATCAAATAAAAACAGTTTTTCTCGCTTTGAAATAATTTGAAATGTAGTAATACTGTGCGATATGTATCTGCTCTGTGTTACCACAATAACATTAGACGTGACCACACGGAGATTTTACTAGAAGAAGAATCTCGGCTCATGTGATGAACATTTTCATCCTTCATGTCAATTTCAATTTCGAATGACCCTATCTTACCCAATTCTTACATTGCGAACACTAACAACGGTTTCTGTCTATCTTAACCTGAGCACTTGTTTTGCCGATAGTGACTGACCCCGCACGTGACGCAATGTATACATTTAACATCTGTAAACTTCTCAAAACTTTTCCTGTGCACAGATTAGGCATCTCCTTTGAATGAGATGAATCAATATAGTAATGGTCTATGTAAAGACAGCTCTAGTTGTAAGGCGTTGAAATATTTGTATTGTAAAATTGATGAGATGTTGCATTAGCAGATCAGCACATTAACATTTAATTATCGTACTAACTTTGAACTCGTTGCCTTATAAAGTGAAGTAGCCAAACTTTGGAATGAGAAGCATCATGCAGTATGTGTCTGTTTAGAGGTTATAGGCGCGTAGCGAGTCTCAGCCCACCCCTGAAGCGCCCAGACAGAGTATGCGTTGTAAGACATGTCGGGGAGAGGTTTGCCGGGGAACTGGCACTAGTTATCTTTCCCAGACCCTTGACAGATCTTTCGCGGGCTCGTGTTCCTGAAGGTCTCATACATTCGCGTGAGCGAAGACACGCTCGCGACCAAGTGTTGATAACGAGGGTGGCGAAATCTTCGCAGCTGTTGTTTGCTCTGTCACGCAATAGGGGGAGGAAGCCCGCCGCGTGACGAGACCAAACAACGGCTGCGAAGGAGACAACAGTCTACAATAAGTGTGGCACCAATGCAGTTTATTTTGCTTGATATTATTGATTCAGAAACTGGTGATAATAGACCACAAAACACTTGTATCTGAGTTTATTTCAGATGAATTGGAAGGGGTTTTTTTTTTCCTGGTGCTCTCCATTTAACGATATTTTTGTTGGAATGTTTTGAAAGTTTATGTCCTTTTTCTTTTAAAAAAAAAATGCAAACAGCAGCTAGTTAGTTGCCCACCCATGCCATGTGTGGCAAACCTGTTGTGGGGGCGATGTGGTTGACTGCTCACGCTTCGCCTTCGCCATTATGTGATTGGTTTGTAACGTAAACGTAGAGTAAGCTCTGGAAACGAAGGAAACTTTTTTCCCTTCTAAATAATTTGAGAACTCTTTTTGTCTTCTCTACTTATAGGTATGCCTCTCGTGTAAAACTTATTACAAACGATGCTCAGAAAAACGCCGACAACAAAGAGATAAACAGATTGAAGGGAGTAAGTTGACACTGTTGTTGGGCTCTATCTCGACTCTATTCTGTTCTCTCACATTTCCTTTCAATCGATTTATACTTTTTATTTCTTTGTCCTTTTAAGATAATTGCAAAATTGAAGAAAGGAGAAACTGTGGATGACGCTGAAGGAGAAGACTAAACGACTCGCTGCGTCAAATAATCCGTACTTAAGAGGTATTGTTTTTTAAAGAGCAGTTCTCAATGGAATGTCGAGAACAATCCAGCTTGCATTGGTTTTGCTTTACACCGCTCTGTGATTGGTCCAGAAAACTCTCGCCACTCTCTCAACCAGTCAGATGTAAAACTAAAACCAATCACGATTTGTCAGCCGCGTTTTCCCGCGCTTTGGTCAGTTTGCTCCAGTGCTGTTACTTTGAGTTTTCATTGGTCCCTAACCCTTTTAACTCCCAGAAGTGATCAACATGTAACTTCCCCCTTTAATATCCACACATTATCTAGCAAACGGGTAATGGGGATATTCAAACTTATCAGGTAGAAGTTGTTACCTTGATCTGACACCAAATTCTCACGACTAATTTACCAAAAAAATGTGATGCAGCTAAAGGGGAGAATCAACAATCAGATCTTGGAAATGAAGATACTTTTTTATGGAGACCTGGTTTAACCCCAAAGCGTAGATTATCGAGTTCTTTCTTTTTTTTTTTTTTTTTTCCAGACACTTAGGTGCTGGTTCACCATTCAAGAAATTGGAGACTACAGGCTTCCCGATGGATGGCAGCTGTCGAAGTTCCACGAAAAAAAATAGCTAGATTAACGTTGTTAGCTTTTGATACAGACAGGCTCCTTGGACCAGAGAAACTGTGAACAGTTTTTGTGCAAATGGAGATATAAGTGATTTTCGAAGATGCATTATTTTTCTACGAACTGTACAAAGCCTTTTTCTATTTAATATTTATTTCCTGGCGTTCGTCATGTGACGAGGCTTTTGGTATTGTTAAGTGCTGGCAACTTTTTTCAGTATTCTGTTGATATCTTTTATTTAGTTCTGGAATAACTGATCGCCTTGGCAGAGACGTATCTCACAAAGTTAGCCCATCCTGGTTACACGATTACATCTGTATCATCTTTTCCTTATTGTTATTACGCAACAGAAGAACTTTCGAGAAAGTTTTTTCGGCAAAAAGGGCAGATCGATGAGTACTCCTGCAGAAGAGATCAGATTCTTAGATTTGCCGCAGTAGTTATTTTTAGATTGAAAAATTCTTAGCCCTGTACCCTCTTACATCAATGTACATAGTCTCCATATTGTACTCTATACATTTCTTAAGGTGTTGACAAGGAGAATTTGTTTAACAGTCAAGAACTTCTTTAGTTGGTGATCATTTCCTTTATTCTTGTGACCTTAATGTGTGACTCAGGGCTGATATTGTAAGGAGAAATTAGATGCTAGACACTCATAGGGTTTAAAGATTTAATTTTTTTTGTAAATAAGATGGCAACTGAATGAGAAAGGTTCTCTGTTTTATCCGATCAGTCAAATAACTCTCTGTCATCTGTGATGTCTGTGATGGAAATTGAATGTTCATCAAGATCTGATGAAGCATTCGTTTCGGTATCACAAGGTGAGCCAGACCTCTAAGATTTATTTTCCCTTCCTTTTTCGGGTGTTTAACGGTGGAATTTTGTTCGCGTTTTTTGTGCAGAGAGATAAATCTTCGCTGTTAATCTACGCTTTCCTCATCTAAATCCTTCTTGGCTGATTCATGATTTAATTGTCAGATCTCAATTCTCAGCCTCCCACGCACCACATTCGTATCACCTCAAACAAGGCTAGCACGTTTCAAATTATTATCATAACTCAGTCCTGGTTAGTTACAGGTTGCTGTCTGAGGTAGGAACCGAATTTTGTTCTCTTTTCGACTACTAAATGAACTCGAATAGCACGATAAGTAAGGCATAAATTAAAGTAATGTTACGTTTAGAAATGTAAGTCTCAGCTCTCTGTTTCGTTAAGTTATGTTGAAGTTCATAGCACGTAGTACGGTCAAACCTTTTTATCACACACACCTGAAAAACGCCTCTAAGGTCAAGTGATTAGGGCAATCTTTGAATATTTATGTGAAAGATATTTCGATATTTGCTAGCCAAGCAGATAGTCGTCGCGATAAAACCGATCACTTTTTAAGTGTCGCCTTGCGTGAGAGATCGTACGATGATCATCTCCATAGCATGTTATGAAAGCGTGACAAAAAATAATTGCGTCACAAAGTACTTGTTATTATGTGATCTTTATAGACTAGATTTGTAGTTACATAAACTTTTCATTTCTATTTCGCTCATTGTTTTGAGGAGGACGAAAGATACATATTTCTAGTTACTAGAATGTGGATAATGTTCAACATTTCCAAAATGTTTTGCCTGGCCGATTAAAAAGAATTGTCCGTGTCTCGTTTTCATGGAATGTCTCCTTTTCATAGAAACGTCTCTGATGAAATCGTGAGATTTCGTTCTCGATTATTTTATTGTTATCTTATCCTACCGGACAAGATCAACTCCCGCTGTCAATTTGATACTAGTTACATCGATGCGTGACAAACTCAATAATTGCGTTACATCAGGAGTCCTGATTCCCCCAGCGGTTCGTGAAGCATTGTAAAAGTAGAAATCTTCTCTCTGTGACTCCATTTTTAAGGGTTATCGAATTCCTCATCATCTTGTTTTAAATGTCGTTAATTTCCTGCTATTCAGGAAAACACGGCCGATCGATATTTCCGCCAACGTCAGTTCAAGAAATATTTTTCGAGTTACGAGAGCTGTAGAACTTTCAAAACAATCAAAAAGGAAAACTGAATCGCATCTGTAAACAATAATCTGAGAAACTGATGGAAAAAAAATCCGCTTATGGAGGATTTACCGGCGAGTTAAGCCTGTAAAATGTTGATCGAATAAAAATCCGTGATAATTTTATGCCGCAGTTAATTCCCTCGCTCCATATATGGAATGGCACGCATCTGGCTTAGAATGTTGGGAATCTGGGCGTCAGTCGTTGTTCTGTGTTCAACGCAAGCTTGGCCTTCGAAGACTTCACACTGTTTCTTGTTTAATATTGGTTTTGGTCGAGTAGTTCCCAACAAACAAAATGGAGCAGATCAAGAAAAAGATGGCTTGTCTTCGCGAAACTCTCGCTGAGGCAGAAGCCAAGGCGGATAAGGCAGAATGCGAATTGAGAGAGGCGAATGATCGAAGCGCTAAAGTGAGTACAGCTTCAATTATTGTCACGATCAGGTTGTTTGACATCGGTTTTATTAACCTCTTTCTGTTACTTACTACCCGTTGATCGGCTTCGAACGGTTTCTGGATAGAAGTTTTCTCGATATATGCTATAAAAGGGTTTTCTTCTTGACAAATATTGCTCGTGTTGAAGGGTTTACTTATCGCAAGCAGACTGGTTGGTCAGAAATATGGCTGGCCTACATTCCTTTGCTCCCTTCTCATCATGGAAATACAAAATGCTCATTCATTTGCCTGCAATCTTGCTTGTTTGAAGTAGAGGAGTGGTTATTTAGCTAGCTTGTCTGATTTGTAAGTTTAATATATGAAAACAGAAAAAGCTTGTTCGCTTGACTTGGAGCTCTTGTTTGGGTCAAGTTGATCTATAACAAAGCTGTGGTCGAGTTACTGTAGTTTCTAAGCTCGTCTTTTCATCGATTATTTCACAATATTCATATGATTTTATTGCCTATCAGTGAAGCTTTATGGAAGATTTAGTGCTGGCAATTAATAGCGATGGTATCAGTATAATCAAATTGAGTTCAATATTTGGCGCAGTGACAAAATATTTGACACAATTTCTCGTCACACAAGTGATTTTCTTCTACAAACAATGGTAACACGACCCTGAAATAACTGCTTTTTGTTCTCTGTTTTATCACGACCAGACCACTATAGTAGATCAAAACTTATCGATTTAACTAGTTAAGAGTTACTACGTATTTATAACATGTCCATAAAATTCATTTGGCACGACCCACCCTCTTTGAGAAATCATATGCCTGTTGAATGAATAGCATGGGTCATATTTTATTTATTTATTTATTTATCTGTATTGCCTATTGAGGGCAGAACTTTTGATGATGACAGTTAAAACACATCAGGTTCACAACTGCCAGCATCTAAGTGTAAGAATATTACTTGTTGTGGCATATGGCAGAGAACTGTCAGCGGATAGAATTTTAGTCATTGTTCATGAAAAAGGAGTATTTCTAACCAAAAGAACATCTCATTTTTCAAGGCAGAGCTCTACTGTCTATCCAAGCTTACAACTTTGCTAAATTTTGCGAGTTCTCTGTTTTCCTTACTGTCTGTTTATTTGTATGTGGGTAATTTTTGGTCTGTATCCTGAAAATCTGATTAACAATCAGCAATGAGTGATTTCATAGTCAATTTGGGAAATATTTGTCAACTCTTAATTTTAGACTGAAGAGGAGGTATCTTGTTTGACAAAAGAGTTGCAACAAATTGAAGATGAACTGGATGCTGCAGAATCTCGCTTGAGCACAATAACAGAACAGCTGAAACAAGCTGAGGCACAAGCAGATGAGAGTGAAAGGTACGGCAAGATTTTTTAGGTTAAACTGGGCTTATTTCAGTAACATTCACTTGATTGATTTTGACCTTGAAGCATGAATTGCCCATATTTACTTTCTGTTATGGCTCAACTACAATCGCAAAACACTCAACAATTGTAATCATGAGCACTCAACAACTTCACACTCTTGTGAGTGGAGTCAAGGTGCCAGAGTGGTATAATTACAATTCAGATGGCGATTGGTGCACTAAAAATATATTTGACCACTGATAGGTGAGCCCATCATGATTTGTGGATTCAGATCAGATCAGAAATCACCTCAACTTGAAGTATTCTTATTTGTGAGCATGTAAACATTTTGACTTAGATGGAAGTTTTGTTGATCCTATTGAAGTGACCTTGTGGCATTGGTTCTATATTTCCAAAACTAATTGAAATTTTCTTTTCCTAAGAGATAAGGCTGTACATATGATATATGCACAACTTCTTAAGTTCAGTTTGTAAAGATTTAATGTTAAGATGGGTTGATTTCACAAGAGACCCAGCTTAAGTTGTCATTATCTGCTGAGTACCTAACCTTGTCTCTCTTTACTTTTCAGAGTGAGGAAGGTTTTGGAAAACAGGGGTTTGGCTGATGAAGAGAGGGTGAGAAAGCCTCGCCAGTTTCTTTTGATGGAGCTTTTGGAAGCTTAAACTGAAATTGAGTGTGCTGTTAGCCTTATGTAAATTTTGCGACCCTCAGAATGAACCTTGAACATTTTCATTTTGCTCCACCTAACTGCATGTTGCTGAAGTTGAGGTCATATTGATAGTTCTGTGTTTTGTTCTAAATCAGTGATTTAGTTTCTGGTTTAGACAATGTGGTTGCTCAGAAGAAAATCCTAATATATTGAGTAGGATTACCCTATTATTAGTGATATACCAGAGTTGTCACTAGAAGGTGATAGGTGGCAGAAACCTGCTGGCTGTCGGACGGTTTTTTTGCACCAGTTACTCTGTGAATTGTGTTAATGTATGGCTAAGGAAGAGTTACTCAGATATGTCCCAGATTTCTGGAAATCACTTTTCAGAGTTTCAAATTTCATGCTTCTTGACCTGAGTAGGGCACATTGCAAAGTAATTTGCCATGCTTGCTACACAAGCATAATTGAGTTGCCTACTCAATTCAGATTGGAAATCTTTTTAAGAAGGAGGCTTCAAAAGATGATGTTGATAGGAAGTGCATCAGGGAATTGCTTATTCAAACTACAAATTTTATAATAAGTTTATAAATATGGTCCTGCCCTTCATTTAGTCTTCCCAGTTTGAGGCCAAATTGGCTGAGGAACGAGATAGAGCGGAAAGAGCTGAGAGAGAGTATGAAGAGGTTTGTCTTGCATAGTTTGTTATGTGGAGAATATTTTTACTCATTTAGGTTTGGCGTTAACTGTACAGTTACATCCTTGTATTAGTAGAAACAATTAAAGTGCACCTAAACCCCAAAAAATTATTTTCGCGTAACGAAATAAGCGTATTTTTTGGAGTATTTCTGTGCAAAAATTTTTTTATTTGCTCAAATCTTCAATTTTCTGTGCCCAGTCAAAATACGGAAAATCGGCCGCTATCTTGCCCCATGACCGAGTTTAAAGAGGAATGGCTCTAGCGGGTAATGTGAGGTCAAATCGAGAACACAAAAGTCTGCATTTCACACATTTTCGCTTGTTTGGGAAGGTTGTAGTCAATATTGTCTGAAAATATGCTGACTAAGTGTGTTGTAGGAGGTTGTAGCAACGTGCGAAATTTGCAAGAGGGTATCGCGCTTCATACTTTCCTCATACAACACACCTAGTCAGCATATTTCGGACAATATCGGCAACAATGTTCTCAAACAAGTGAAAATGTGTGAAATGCAGACTTTCGTATTCTCGATTTGACGTCACATTACCTGCTAGAGCCATTCCTCTTTAAACTCGGCCGTAGGGCAAGATGGCGGCTGATTTTCCGTATTTTGACTGGGCACAGAAAATTAAAGATTTGAGCAAATTAAGAAATTTTTGCACAGAAATACTCCAAAAAATAAGCTTATTTCGTTAAGCGAAAAAAAATTTGGGGTTTAGGTGCACTTTAATTGATAAAACGATTGGCAGAAAAGACTTCAAGTTGCACAATTGTTACTTCAAGTTGCACAATTGTTGTAGTAGCTATTCTATTGTTGAGGCCTAAAAGAGAACCTGTTTATCTGAAAAAAATCAAGAAAAGGGGAATGGTCTATTTTGTTGTTGCTAAACCATAGGAAATCAGGTTTCTCTGCTTAAATGAAAGCTTTGATGAAGGATACATGTACATGTCTTGCGAAGAAAAAAAATGGATTGGAATTGCAAAAATTGGAATTGCAAAAGCCTTTCAGCATGGATATGCAAAGAGGGATAGCAGGAATTAAGGCTCTTGGCATCTGTTTTAATGGCTATAGTTGCTTGTTATTTAAGATTGCTGCAAAGATTGCTAACCTGGAAAATGAATTAGAAGAAACCGAGTCTAGAGCTGAGGAGGCAGAAGAGTAAGTCAAGTCTTAATAATTATTTCTTAGTGGTACAGTGAAAATTAAGCCCAAATTAACACCAGAATTGGTACAATGGTGGTCAGTTGGATTTGGAATTTTTGTGCCTTTATTTTGAATGGAATATACACATCTGGAAAGGATTTACTTATGATCCAAAAGCAAAAACGCATTTCCATATCAGCCCAACACATTCACTTACATGTTTGCCAGAAAGCCACATCTTAATTTCCATCTTTAAGGGGTAGAGATAAGTTCAAACATTTTCCAGCCATTAACTAACAATTCATTAACTCACCTTGAAGTAATATGAAATTTGTATGCCATGGTCCTGCTTTTGTGTACCAGATTAACCCTTTACATGTAGCTCTTGTGAGTGACCAAGACAGAATTTCTCCTTACAATAACAAGCAGACAAGTTATGAGAATCATGCAAAACATCAATTAGGGGACTATCTGTCAATGCAATTTAACAAATGGTAAACACCACAGTGTACACTATTGAGTTATGGATGCACGCGGGAGGTTGCTAAGCACGAAAGAAGCGTAAGAGTCGCTTGAGGCAATAGCCGAGAGTGACTCTAGCTTCTTGAGTGCTCAGCAACCTCCCAAGTGCATCCATAACTCAATAGTGTACGCTGTGGTGTTTACCATTTGTTTTATAACATAACATTAACACATTGTAGCTAAAGAGTTCCCTTTTATTTAACAAATCTCATGTGACCAGAAAAAACAAGCGTGCGCGGAAAAATGGTCTTTACATTTGCTCACGTCAGCAGCGTACACCCATGGGCAAATGGGGGACGCTAAATTGACCAATCAGAGCGCGCGCTTTACTTTAGTTATGTTATAAACCAAATTCTCTAAACCACCGTAAGAATTGCATTGCTGACAGTAATGGGAATCACTTATGAAATTTTGAGTGAAAAAAGGTAAGAGACAGATCTAAGGCAAGAACTTGTCAGGTACACTGTATTTTGCTCTAGCTAATAGCCCATTTCAGACACAATTTTTTGGGCTTCAAGCAAAGCTATCTTTGGCATTGAGTTACAGGAACTTGGAGACTACTTTAGTCAGTTACTGAATGTATGTCATGTTAAACCAGTAACACTGTTAATTTTTTTTTTTTTAATTCTTATGTTCATTTTCTCATATGTTATATTTCTTAACTTGGTCTGTAGGAGTGTTAAGAACTTGGAGGAAGAGGTCACCTTGGTTGGAAATAATCTGCGAAGTTTAGAAGTCAGTGAAGGAGAGGTCAGTGTTTAATTAATAATTAATTTGTGAGGGCATGTTGCAATTAAAGCAAAGTCAACCTCTAAGAGTGACTTCCCTCTAGTTTCTCCATACAATATCACCCCTGATCGTACATTCAAATCACAAGAATAAAGAAATCAAAGCTAATGGAAGAGGTTCTTGATTGTTCAATATCTTCTTGTCAACACATTAGAAAATATGTAGAGAACAGTAAATAAAATATGCATACTGATGCTACGGTCAAAAGGGTTCATCTGTGAAGGCAAGTTATATCTAAAGCAAATTCACCTTTTAAAGAAAAGATTTCATTTTAATCGGGGGGGGTATATATTCAAACTTAAGTAATCATTTCGGATTTGTACATACCATTATTTTGTTGTTGTGTTTCATTGTTAGGCTTCCAAACGAGAAATAGATTATGATGACAAGATCAAAAGGCTTGAAGCAGAGTACACTGAGGTATTATTTCGTTTTGTTTATGTTTTCCTTTGGCTGCCATATTTGTATTTATTATCCAACTGTGCTTGGTAGAGTACAAATAATACCCAAGACAATTACAAATATCTTGCGGTATTTCTACTCCAGAGAATGGTTAGATAAGTTTTCTCACATTGTGCAAGCAAAAAATTGGATTGGAGTTATAAAATAGAATGGCAGACAATTTAAATTATTTTTCTGACAACAAAGAGTTGGAATGGCTGGTGAATATTGATCCGAGTTTTTTAGTTAAGTCAAACAACGAAAAGCAGTCAAGACGACAATGAAATGTTATCATTAATTAAAGGAAACAGAAACAGCAACACAACAAAGAATTCTGTTCCACTTCACATACTTCTGTCACGCACTCCCCATTAATAAATATCCATGAAACTTGGCACACTGAAATAACAATTTGAGGTGTTGGATAATAAATCTCTTATTAAATGTTTTGTTATACAAGCTCGTGAAAATACAGCACAACTCGTAAAAATACTCAGCAATACTACACAACAAAATGTTTAATAATATATATATACTGATGAGAAGGACTTTGTAAACTTGATAGATCCTGAATTTACAATACATTATTTTATTATTAAAACTTGAAGACTTTATTTGCCAGGCTGAAGATAGAGCAAATCAAGCTGAGGCAAAGGTAGTAGAACTGGAGAAAGAGATTGATAACTTGGATGGTAAGAAGTTCATTGATTAGATAAACATGAATTGACTTCATCACATCCAGGCTTCATTGAACATGAAATAGAAAAGAAGCTGGTTCTTTAGCTAAGAACAACTGATGTAGATCTCTGTGTCTGTATTTTGCCCTGAAGGAGTCGCACATAGTTGCATTAATGGTTTAAAAAATATGCAAAAAGAGTAAAGGACTAAAAGGAAAAAGCCAAATAGGAAAGGCAGACCAAGTAAAAAGTATGGTGTAGTGCTTTTAGCCAGATTCTGTTTAGGGTTTTCATTTAGAAATGCAGTGGCATGAGAGAAGTATGAATTGAAAGAGAAAATTATTCTCTCCACATCTGAACAACAAAATGGCCCAAGCTATGAATATTTTGTCAGAGAGTTTTGTGATGACCATTGCCTAAATAATGCTGTGCTTTTGTGTGTTTGTTCTTTTTTCTTTTCCTATTGTATCTATTTCTGGACTTTGAGATGATTTTTTTTTACTTATTTTATTTCAATTTCTGCAGCTGAACTGGAACAGTCCAAGAATGAATATGCCAAAGTGAAAGAGGAACTGGATGCAACAATGCAGGAGTTGAGTGAAATGTAAAAACGAAAAAAAAACAGTTCACAAGGAACCATCAGGAACAATTTTCCTCTTGTGTCATGTAAACTTGTATGAATTAGGAGTTTTGGGTTAACAAGACGAGTTTTTCAGTTGAATAACTTCTTTTTTTAATTTAATTAGGTATTTAGGAAAATTGAATTACATGTAACATCTATGTCAAGGCTGTGCTCTAAAGAAAATTGAATGGAGCCCAGTGCTCTGAAACTGTGAAATCCAGGGTGCCCAGCCTATGCTTTGGATGAAAAAACTAAAATTTCACAAGCAAAAGTAAGGGGCCACTTGGCGATACTAGACCACAGCCTTGCATGTAGAAAAAAAAACATCTGATTAACATAGTCTGTTAATACATTAATTCTTTATCTTTGTTTTTATTGCTACTGGGGCGATCACTTTCAATAAACACCTGTTTTAGAAGTGTAGAGTTGTCAAGAAACAGTTGCATTCACTGGCTTTGTTTATCTGCATAGTAATTTTCTAACCTTTTGTGGCAATATCTTGAGGAAGGGATTTGTTTTATTCTACCTTTTATTTGTAATTCGTTTTGAAAACTGATCAGAATGGCTAAGCCCCTTAATCCTTTTCACCCTGACATCTGTTTCCATTTTCTCCATACTGTTCTCTGTATGTTTCCTAAAGTGCTGATGAGGAGAATTTGCTTAACAATCGAGATCCTCCTTTGTGATCATTTTCTTTATTCTCGTGACCTTAATGTGTGATTCAGAGGTGATATTGTAGGGAGAAATTAAATGCTAGTCACTCTTTAGGGGTCAAAAGCTTAAAGGATTGGTTGTACAGTTTTGGGTGAGTCTTGGCCACTGAGAAAAAGTGAAATAAAGAGCTAGCTCAGTCAGACCCTTTTGGATTGGTTCAATTCACACCATATATTCAGGTTTGCCTTTCTAGAGAGCAAATGAAAGAAGGTTGCCTTCATTGACCAAGAGTTCTTTGTTGATTATTTGGAAGTAGTGTCATCGATAAAATTCCTCAGAGCTGCCATGAATTTGAGTTAACGAAATTGAGGTGTTATGCAGTAGTCACTAGACAAGAGTGACCTAACCTTTAAACATTGTGACGCTAGCGTGACTAGTCTGCTAGTCACGCTAGGTCCTCTTTCTTGATCACCAAATACGATATCATTTCCTTTTGATGCCTTTTGACTGGGAAATCAGCGGTAAGCCACGGTCAACCTTTAAGAATAATTTATTCCGCAAGTTAGCTGGTCAGATTAAAAATCAATTGAAACTTGTTTTTATCAGTAATATTGTGTCCTTTGAGGGAAGTAAAACCTGTCTAACCATCTCTAATGTTTCGCGTAAAAACTTGCGCGAGATCTACTACAGTAAAGAAAGTTGATTATGATATACTTAAGCTTGGATATAGGGCTATACAGCCGATTGTGCCTCAATAACTATGCAAGCATTCCGAGAGCGTGTCACATAAGGATCTAACAAATACCTGTGTTTAGTACCGAAATCTCCCTCGCTTGGTAACCTCACTCAACACACTATTGAGAGCGTTCACTTTTACAGGTTTCTTTTCTGTCATTGTTTGTATTACGGCTCACGTGCGAGGTTCATTGCTTAACTTGATAGATTACTTTAGTTCTCATGTAACCCCACGGGGGGAGGGGGGGAGAGATATCATAAGGTGAGTCGTTTTAATCCTTCCAAACTAGTAAACGTTCAATCCTTCATCTTTGGCCAGTGGTGAGAAATTGGTGTCCTAGCACCATTATATGAACTGCTCGTGCATAAGCGTCGAAAGGATTTTATGACGAGATGACTTGGCAGACCAAAGGGGTCAGCCTAAATTCCTTCGATCTTCCATTTGATTTATTTCTTTTATTAGCCTCAATTAGCAAGGGTCGGTCAGCCTACAGTACGGTCGCTTTGCCTTTCATGATTGTGACCGGAAATGACTTTATTGATAGATGCTTTTCTAGCTTTCAGGAGTAGGGACTAGATCGAACTTGGGCTCCATTTCCGCCGTTTTCTCGTGTATGGTCATCAATCCACCAAAGAAGGGAACGTTTAACGCCGGAGTCTCTGGCTCATTTCCCGAATAGCCGCTGAACATCGAGCCGAGATCGAGCTTCTTCGCAGAGAGTTTTGGAGACTTTGCCTAACCTGCGGTCTGCGAACGCTTCTTTCCTTTCAAATAATGACAAAACAATTTAAATATTTTCTCAGATTTGAAGTGTTTTATTTGTTTCAAACTTGACATGAAAATGACTCGTTTGATCTCAAGCCTGCAGGTACTTAACTATCAGAGGGTGAGGTTTATCATAAGATTGCAATAACAGGTAAATATCTGTTTTAAACTAGGGAAGCATTGAAGGTTACTTTACAAAAGAACGGAGTGTGCTGACAAAGTATGGATCCATAACAAAACGGAGTCCTTCCTTGGGATTGTTTTTAGCATAGAAGTTGATTATTTGTTCATCGGTTTTCCCATCTTTCATCATTTTCATGATGTTTTCCTGAATCAGATTTGCCAAGACCAGTACGTCATCCTTCAAAGTGGGGCAACCCCTTGCTTTAAGGAAATCATTTACTTGTGCCTGGGTTTTCTTCATTGCAAATCCTTTCATGGCGTAGTAAAATGCGGTTGCATACTTGTCAAAGTTTGCAGCAAGAGTGGCCCAGTCATTGGAGATGTCTCTGAGGGTTTCGTAACTTCTAACCTCCATTCCCAGTGCAGAAAGAAGACCATCAAGAGACTTCTTCATTTTCGTCACGGCGTCTTCAGCTTGTTGTCGTTTTCCGTTCACTTTGTCTATGGCGTCGTTTAGTTTGTTCAACTCTGTTATTCCGGTGTACAACGTCAAACCAAAGCCAGCCACAGCCAGAGCGGCACCTGCTGCTCCGGCTATGGCTCCTATATCAGCAACGATTCCATCGGCTGCAGCTATTCCTGCGCTGGTCAGGCCGTAGGAGACGAGGCCGACAACCCCAACTGTAGTTTGTGTGATGTTCAGGGCCAGACCAATGTCTTTCATAACTTTGCTTGGATTGCTGAGGTTCAACTGCAATTCGTCGTTCAGTTTGCTCACAACATCAGCCGGTAGTTTCCTCATGCTCTGCTTCAAATGGTCGAGACGAGTCTTAACGATCTTGTACACATTCTGGTAGAAATCGTTCGCGTGATCGATGGCTGTCTGCGCACTTTCGAGGGCTGATTTCAGTTGCTTTTGCTTCTTGTCTTCTTCGACAGTGAAGGCCACGTCACTCGCCAAAGTGGCTGTAATGGCAACTGCAGCTATTGCAATACCGACACCCATGATTTGTAGAACGGAGTGTTGAGCTCTCCTCTTAACTCGGTCTTAAGGAACTAAATGAATTTGTGTTGTAAGAACGTGAAGTATTAACCAGTAGTGTTGTTGTGTATCGGTTGCAATTTACAAAAAGCCTTGTTCAGGGGCAATGACAACAATAAAACTCTACAGGAACTTGACCTTACACAGATCCTTCGATTAGCATCAGGTGACCCGATCACGAAATCTCTCTTCCACAATTTTCTTTGGAATAGTGAACTTTCCTCTAATCACGAGTAATGTGTTATCAATATTTATGGACGAGATTTGTCTTTTAATTTTAAGAAGGTCACCAGATATCCCAAGCGTATTTTTTCACCATTGCACCCGCCTGCAATTGGAACATGAAAATATGCGGCTACAATCGGATTAGATCCCGAAACACGCACTTTCGGCTGTTTGTTTAGTTGTTGAACAACCCACTCCAATTACCAGACGTACTTCTCCTCATCACAGCTTTACAACAACAACTCGGTTCACTAAACAACAGTTATTTACGAAAACACACTTATCTGCTTTGGAAACGCACCAGGGCTGTGTACCTCTTTGCCCACCAGTTTTCAAGTATTTTCACAATTCAGCTGAGGTCGTTTGCAATGGAAAGCCAGTATAATCAGTTACTTTCTCTATCGAAAACCGTCGGCGCCTTTTACGAGGATGTTTATGCCCCAGTTCTGCAGGCGTTGCCATGGATCGACGACGGAACTGGTCTGAAGACAGCCAGCGAGAAGGTTCTTGGTAACATAACCTTTACAGTCTTTGAACTTTCTACCTACAAAAACCAGAAGACAAGTCAGCCAACACTCGCCAAATTGCGCCAACGCTGCCAAGAGCTGGAGTCAATCTACCATAAAATGCAAGACGAAATGCGTCCATTGCTTGAGAAACTGCCCCCGAGCGATCGCAGCTGGGATAAGCTGAAAGATATGGTCCCAAAATGGAGAAACCTCAGCAGCTCAGAAGTGCTTCCCTTGAGCATGCATCACGCTGTCGAAGAGTCATTCTCCTCTAAGAATATGTTGATGGTAATGGCTGCTACAAATTTCACAAGACCAGCTGCGCCTACACTTCCACTTGACGAATCTATGCTCGGGAAGCTAATGGCTGAAAAAATTAAGTCCATGCACGCGCAGGGAAAAAGCGATCATGATATTGCAGTGGAATTCGGTTCTCATGGACTCTGGCTGGAAAGATCTTTCCTGCACGCGATTCGATAAACTGTTTGTTGATTTTCTTAGGTCACGGGTCTTGGAGACAAGGGCTATTCTGTGGAACTTTTATTGAATAATTCATTTGATGTAATTCAATTTTGTCTGTATCATCCATTTATCATTTCAGAGTATATTAAAATTCAGCGATGATTTAACGTTTGCACGGCTCGTTTGAAGACCACTTTCTTTTAGTGATGAGGATTCCGTGATTAAATAAAGTGATTAAAAAAATTAAATAAATAAAGTTTTCTGTTAGTTTCTGTCTACCACCTTAGTTGAGGAAATTGCAAATTGCCGACTGCAATAGTGCTGTGGGCGGCAATAGTCCAAGGGTCCGATCTGATTCAGCTCTGGCTCCCTCGCTATCACCACGTTTTAATTTCCTACGTACGTGGCTTATTTCACGGTTCAGCGCACATATGTATGCTAGGACGTGCCTGTGTAAATGATTCTTGCACATGTGAAGATTAAAATTGTTTCGGCCCAATATTTGGAACAGGATCAATTTTATGATTTAATGATTTAAAGCCTCTTGGAAAGTTGTTCTTTCTCTTTTAGGCGTCAAACGCACTTGCAGGCGAATAACCTGATACCTAACCCTTTCATTCATAACCACTGAGAACTCTGGGTAATTATTTAAGTATTTTCACTAATTCACTAAAACAATGGCCTGTAACCTCATTGGGTTCACAGTGTGAAGTTCAAAACAGCGTATCACGGAAACTGTTGTTACTGCCCTCGCTGTCAGAGGCTCAATGACCAATCTAACCAACATACTTTTTCAAAACATTTATTACAGTGTGCGCGTTTGTATCGTGTTTATCACTACTGCTGTTTGTCCTTTGTTTTGGAGACAAATTGTAAAAACATTTCTTTCAAGGACGTGGTCACGA